CCCCCCGCTGTGCTTTTTCCGTTCTGTGCCTGCCTTGGGGCCTCTGCACAGGCTCTTTCCTGTGCCTGAAATGCTCCTTCCCCACCTGTGCCGCTCAGAGTGTCAGCAGCCCCTCCTGTACCTACAGAAGGCCCCTGGCTAAGACTCTACTTTAATCTTAGTAGAGCCCTTCAAAGCAGGCAGGACTTGTAATTATCTCATGTTCCTTGGTTTTTGATCTGTGTCCTGTACCAGGACGTCAATGTCACCAGAGACCCTCTGTGTGCTGCTCCGTCACAGTCAGTGAAGGGAGGTGTTTGATTATGACCTGTCAGATGTGTTCGGGAAGGGTGTCCTGATGCCCTCTCTGCCCCCAGACAGAACCTGCTGCAACTGCCTGCATGAGGCTGTGAGACACGAGTCACTCCAACATGCCTTCTGTATGTTACTCTCTGTTACACAGCTGACCAAAAAATAGGACTTTGTTTGGGAACCAAGGTGTGCCAGTATTCCACGGATTTCTTGTTGAAATGACCCTATGACTGCAAACTAGTAACTTAAAGTAGAAGGACCCAGTCTCCACAAGGCAGGTGCTGGAGAACACAGGCAGCAACAGGTGTGACCATGAGGGGCAGCATCCCACAGGGGCCTCAGGAGGAGCATAGGGGCCCTCAGTGCTGGCAGGATGGGAAGAGCCGGAGGATGCCAACCACTGGACATGGAGGCGGAGGCTGGGGACTGAGACTGAAGTCCCTCAGCAGAGGATGGGCACAGAATCCAGGCCCATCACCCTGACTCAGCAGGAGAGAAATTCTGAAGGCATTAGCAGCCCAGAGCCCTGGCATCAGACTTGGCACACGAGGTAGAGGCTGAGCTAGACGTACCCATGACAGCACTGCAGAGCGCACAGGCCTGGACCCACCACCGACTGAGACGAGAAGATGGCCTAGAGCCATGGGAGTCCCACAGCAGACCCTTGTGAAGGGCGAGGCGCACAGCTGATGCAAAGGAGGCCGGCCCAGGGTCTGGGACCATGCGACACACTGTCTCCCTGGCCTGCATGGCTCCCCTGCCTCGCCCACCATGCCCCTACTGCCTTCACTGGAGACCCTCCTGCTCTGCTCGACATCTAAATGTAGGGCTGGCTCCAGGGCTCCAACTGGCGACACCTTTTTCTATGAGTTTACAACCCCTCCAAGTAACCTCACTCAGTCACATCATGAGGTTGGCTCCCCAGCTTCATCTCAGCCCCGGAAGCTCCCCAAATAACCTTCCCAAACCCAACCCCCTCAAACTGCTCCTTCCTCACCTTCCCCATCTTGGAGC